GTTTGAAGGCTGGGGGTGGGGTGGGGGTGGGGAGGGCAGGGTTCCTGTAAAAACTGAAAAAACAGGAGTGTGCAAGAGCTGGGAAGCAAAGTGAAGAATAAACGAAAATGCAGAGAGAAATAAGGCAGCCATCCAAGGCTAACTCTCCTTTGTCTTGGGAAGGTTCTTTAATGTTCACAGTGGCCGCACCTACACAAGGCTTACAGTCATTTAGTAACTGGCATGACTATGAAGTAGCATCCCTGAATGTTTTTTTGGTGGTGCTGACTGCGCAGTAGCTTGTTACTATTGTGCAGTAGTGTTGCATCATGCTTCATGTCACACAATGCTAATGTGCAGTAGTAATGAGCTACTGTGCAGTCAGCAGTTCGTGTAGGTACGGCCAGTTAGTACAGACTTTGGTTTTACATTTTTCCAAGATACATTTTTAAAATACAGCATATATCAAAATATAAACTGATTGGCACGTAGTTCAGGAAGATAATTTTCCTTCTTTGTTTATAATATAACAGTAGTTAGGTGAATTAGCATTGGTTCCCTCTCTTTTCCTTTTACCAGAAGTTGCTGATAGGATACTAGACTAAATAGACTAAAGGTCTGGTAGCATGTGGCTATACTGAACGTTCCATCTGTCATTTTATTTTTAACTTGTATTTCATTGGATCTGGAACTATGAGGTTTTATGAGAAACAACGTGATGGAGAATTATATTAGAAACCTTGGAATACCAGCATGTGGTACAAGCAATGCCTACTTACAGCAAAATGGTAATATAAATAGTTATGTAAAACTTTTGTTTAAAAACAAGGATGTTACAATTTCATTGTTTGGTACTAATTGCCTCAAGAGTCTTGGAGGGATATTTGGCTTTGTGACAAGGGCAGGGGTTGGGGTTCCTGGGCTGTCACTTTGACTCCTCTCCTGAATTTGTCTGAAACTTTGTATAGGCCTCTTAACATTACTGTGACTGGCTTTCCAGCTCCAGAGGAAAAAGAATTCCTATAGCATAGGGCTTATGTACAGCTTAATAATAATGGTAAAGCTTGATGGCGTAAGTATAGACGTGTAAAAAAAAAATACTATAATAAAACTATCATGGAGCTTTCTTGGGTTTTTTTTCTTTTAAGGTTCTGACTTTATTAAGACCTCGACAGGAAAAGAAGCCGTGAATGCCACCCTGCCTGTAGGATTAGTCATGCTACGAGCCATTAGAGATTTCTACTGGAAAACCGGCAACAAGGTAATTCTGGCTACCCAGATCTTCTGTATAGATAAAATGCAAACCATCTCATTCAGGAGGTAAAATCTTAAGATATAAAAAGATACAGACCATCTAAATAACTCACAAGCATCTTTGCTTTTAGTACAGAGTAAGTGCTAGGTAAAGGTGCAGCCTGATTTTCCTTGGAGCTCTCTCTTTTTCTACTTGTGTATAAATTTCTGAAGCTTACCTCTTTGGCAGAAAATTCTCATATTTGGTCTCATTTAAGAAGTAATTCTTCCTGCACCTCTCCCTGGAAAATTTTGTAATGTTGATTCAGCTCCCACTAACCCATTGTGGAGTTTACCAACTTATTAAAGCAAACTAAATTAGTGTACAAATTAGGCTGTTTAACGTGACTGTTTGTAAACAGTGGGACCGATCCCAAGTTAGTGTAAATAGGCACTGAAGTTTATGGAGCTGCCTGAATTTACAGTCATTGAGATCCTGATCCAGTATATACAATACCATCCATCCTTCTATATCACTGTTGGAGCAGGCCCTATAGTTCCATTTTTCTGTTCATTTGTTCTTCCACTTGTGACAGTAATGGAAAAGGAAGCAGCCGAGTAAAACTGTTTATATTCTAAGCAAGCCTTGTAAGGTAGCACCATCTCAGAGTTGATCTAACTTGTAGTATGGACAAATGAACAAATTGCAGCAAGTTAAAAGTGAGCAGAGACTTGCTTGCAAAGCAGCTGATGCACAGTAACAGTCCGTGTGCCTACTCTTACCCTACAGTAAGTGAAGGCTAAACTAGAGCAACTCCCCCTTCAGCCAAATGGGGGCTGAGCTGCCTTTATTTAACTTCCACTAACCATGGGGTAAAAGTAAGCAGAGGTTGATTACCACAGTAAGTCCCACTCCCTTTTTAGCTGCACTAGCTATAGTTAGGTGTATGAGCTATAGTTTGTTTAATTGTTCATGTCCTTGTGCTCTGGCTCCTCCAGTGATCCTTAGGAAGCAGCAAATAGCTGAAGCACAGTTTACCCCCACTGTATTCTGCTGCCACCTTTGGGTTATTCCTTCTTCCTCTTTCTGTTCTTCTACCAATGGGAAAATGCTCAGAGAAGAGTCTCAAGGAGGCCATTTCCAGCCCTTCTAGGCTGCCAGGACCATAGTGTAATAGGACATCTGGCTGCTGTAACAGGTATGCGCAGTCTGCCTGACAAGTCCAGGCAAAGATTTAAACATCATATCTTTTTATGCTAGCCTGAGGCCTTTAACAGACATTCAGTTTAAGACTGCGTGGGATCTAAGCTGCAATCTCAACAGTTGTGCCTCCAGACATGCTACATATGATTTTGTAATTGGGGATTAGATCCCTATTACGCCTTACTTGTCAGTACAGAGGAAGCCCGGGGTCATGATCCTGGGCTCCCCCTGCATCAGCAAGTAAAACCACAGGTGCCGACAATCAGCTGATTGTCAGTGGGGGCTGGGGACTGAACTTGGATCTGAAACCAGCCCCTGGCCCAGCGGACAGTCAGCTGATTGCCAAAACCCTGACTGGGGTTTTAATTACACAACAGATCCCAACACTTGGCTGTGTTGGAATCATCATGGTGCAGCCTGCAGCAGCCATACATTCAAAGTAAGGCATGCCACAAAGCTGTTCCATGTTATATGTGAAATAACTCTGTGGTTCATTAATTGTATTCTCACACCCCAAGTGAACTTTGCAATATGGCTAGGTTACTATTTAAGGTGTGATTAACCTTTTAATTGTGTCTTAAATGTAATGTGTGCCAGGGACTCAAATGGGATCTACACGGACCCATACACTAGATTGTCCATGTGCATTTGAATTCATAGATTCATAGATTAAGGGTCGGAAGGGACCTAGTAGATCTTCTAGCCCGACCCCCCGCCAGGGCGGGAGAACGACAAAAAACCCCAAAAAGAGAAACGGGACTCAAATGAGTCCAGCCAGGTAGGCATCCAGCCTCTTCTTAAAGACCCCCAGGGTAGGGGCCAGCACCACTTCCATTGGAAGTTGGTTCCAGCTCCTAGCCGCCCTAACCGTGAAGTAGTTTTTGCGGCTGTCCAATCTATACCTCCTCTCCATCAACTTGTGCCCATTACTCCTTGTTATGCCAGCGGGCGCTAGGGGAAACAGCGTCTCCCCCAAACCCTTCTGGTCCCCCCTAGTGAGTCTATAGACGGTCACCAGGTCCCCCCTCAGCCTTCTCTTGTGGAGGCTGAATAGGTTCAGGTCCCGCAGTCTCTCACTGTAGGGTCTGCCCTGTTGTCCCCGGATCATGCGGGTGGCCCTCCTCTGGACCCTCTCCATGTTGTCCACATCCCTCTTGAAATGGGGCGCACAGAACTGGACACAATACTCCAGCTGTGGCCTGACCAGCGTCGCGTAGAGGGGGAGGATCACCTCCTTGGCTCTACTCGAGATGCACCTGTGGATGCACGACAAGGTCCGGTTAGCCCTGCCAACCATGACCTCGCATTGTCGGCCCATGTTCATCTTGGAGTCAATAATGACTCCAAGATCTCTTTCTGCCTCCGTGCTCTCGAGTAGGGAGTTCCCCATTGTGTAAGTGTGCTGCTGGTTCCTACTGCCCAAGTGCAGCACCCTGCACTTGTCCGTATTGAAACGCATCCTGTTCCTGTTAGCCCACCCCTGTAACCTATCCAGATCCCTCTGCAATCTCTCACTCCCTGCTAGCGTGCTCACCTCCCCCCAAATTTTGGTGTCATCAGCGAATTTAAACAGGTTACTTTCCACCCCATCATCCAGATCGCTGATGAAGAAATTGAACAGCGCAGGCCCCAGGACCGAGCCCTGGGGGACTCCGCTACCCACCTCCCCCCAGGTCGAGTATGACCCATCCACCACCACCCTCTGAGTGCGACCCCTCAGCCAATCTGCAATCCATCTGACTGTGTAGGCATCTATGCCACAGTCGCCTAGTTTTTTAACTAGGATGGGGTGAGAGACGGTGTCAAAGGCCTTGCTGAAGTCCAGAAAGACTACATCCACCGCGACACCTGCATCCATGGCCTTTGTGACCTGATCGTAGAAGGCAATCAGGTTGGTCTGACATGATCTCCCCCTAATAAATCCATGCTGATTGCCCCTGAGCATCATTTCTGATGCCGGCCCATCACAAATGTGCTCCTTGATGATCTTCTCAAAGAGTTTCCCCAAGATTGAGGTAAGATTGAATGACAGCTTTTGCCTGTAAAAATCACCACCTTTGTGATGAAAGATTCCTCAGCACTTGTGACTATACTCAAAACAGGTCCTGGCTGCAAAAGCAATAGGCCAAAAATCAGGATTTGCCCCTGTTAAAACAGGTTTTTACATTTAATTGAGATAAATGGTTAAATTCACCTTTCATTTTAAAAGAATGCATTCTTGCTTTAAAATGTGCTATTAAGTATGTGTGCATGTGAGAGTGAATTAGATGTAAACTGACTTTAAATGCTTTTATTAACTGAAGACAATTTTAAGGTGACAAAAGATTTCTAAATAGTTTCTTTAACAAAGTAATTTTGTTGCTGTACAGAAGCTCTCTCACAAGGCATTGGCTTGCAAAAACAGGTTTATACAGAAATTAAACTTCTTCAGTGAAAGGAACAGGTTGCAGGGTAACATTTATTGAATGATAAGCTGGGGTGGTGATATGAAAAGTGTGCAGTATAATAGGAAATAATCTTTTCCTGTCATTATTGAAGGACACACATAAATTGGTTTTCTGTTGGGAAACCCCCAGTCCAGAAAAACTTATTACTTTTAATAATATAAGGTGAAGAGAAAATTCTTGAGGAGATGAACTTATTAAACAAAATAATGAAATGCTGTGAAACAGCAGGAAAGTGGTAGCTAGACTTATGCTGCTCTTGAATTAAATATCCATTTTTTTGCGTTTTTATGGCAGTCAGATGTGCTGTTTGGAAAGCTAGCAAACACAGGGGAGGATAGTCTAGTCTTTGTCAGCTTTTTGCAAAAATAAAAGCTTTTAGAATGTGGATGTTTAAGGGGAAAATTGTGCAAGGAGTAGGGTTTTTTTAATTATTCATTTATTTTTTTTTAACCTTTTCATTTAAGAAGTAAAAAAAAAAGTTTACTTGTTTCAACCACAGAGTTTCTCAAAAGGTTTATCTGTTATGGAGAAATCTAAAGTGATTTTCATTAGAATTTCTCTTCCTGAGAGAACACTGGCACCACAGACACACAGGTTTAATATATTGCATTTTCCAGTTGCTGTAATTTGATTTCCTTTTGAAATCTAGGGCTACTAGACACATACACATCCATCCACATCCACTTTTACTACTGTGCCTTTTGAAATCAGAAGTTTTCTGTTACAACGGTTGAGGTTCCTTTCAGAAACAATGTTGTTAGCGTGCTCCAATGTGAGACATTTTCTTCTACATATGGATGATGACTTGTCCAAATGAAATATTACCAAAAGTTAAAATGATCTGTTTGTATTATTGTTGTTATTTCCAAGAAATGGTCTCATGGTACTCTACAAACAGGTTTCCTGTTTTCTTGTCTATGATTGCTTCAAATGTACATCTCAGAATAACCCTCCTCACAGGAGAAGGAAAACAGAGGAGTTAAAAAGATAGAAGGAGGAAAGTCAGTCTGAGATGCAGGGAAATGTAAAAACACCATTGTTAACTACACTGCAGATTGTTCTTGCATTACATTAGATACCAGCAAACCTGCCTGCTGCTGATTCCCCTTGCTTTGCAAGCAGCCCATAAAATAGCCCCTTACAGCATCACATACGGACCACTGCTAAAAGCAGGATAATGGACTTTACAGATCAGTGATCTGTTTTAGTGTAGGGACTCCATGGCTCCTGAAGACCATGATGTAGATTGATTCTGCTGTCCTGAAATATGTGGGTACACTTAAGCCAAGGGGCTCTAAACATATCTTGCTAGAACAGTGCTTGCTGTATGAACTTCAGATTTGCATTTTTTCCCCAGAGTAGAGGTTTTAATTTGGTTAAACACATCCAATGCATGTTGTCATTCCAGACAACATTTGCCACATTAAAAAAACCTCCGCATGTCTAGTAGGAACAGACCCGTCTTGATTCATCCCTGTAGAATGATTTATAAAGTCAAGCTAGCTAACTTGCTATTTATGTATATTAATTTTAGCATACTAAATAAGGCTTGAAATATAGACCAGCAGTCTATAAATATTGTGTACGTGCTTTCTGTAAGATCCAGAAATTTCAGGCTGCCTGACAGACTGCTCCCGCTGTATCAAGACTGCTTCTCTTCCGCATTTCTGAGGTTACACTTGTGCTTGTGTTGTTTACACATTTAGGGCAAGATTTTGTTTTCCTTTTGTGTGTCTAAATGGCAGCTTTCTAGCTATTTTAGGCACTCACACACAGGTTGCAATTCTGTTACCCCTGCACTGTGGATGTGTAAGCATGCACATGTTGACTAAGTGTGTTCAGTAGGCTACACATTGGCTGGGCAAATATACTGCTATGTGTACCCTCCTGTTATGGCCACGTGTGTCCGGAACATGAAAATGCAGGTGCCTATAAACTCATGACTAGTGGGAGAAACCCTCCTATGTTTTAGCCCCAGTGCCTGAGTAGTCAGGACACTCTCTGAGGAAGCAGGAGACCTCTATACTCACAGGGGGGGTTGAACCCACATTTATCTGACTTCCTAACACAGTGCTCTAACCACCAAGCCACAGACCAGGCATTATCCAGTCCCTTCTCCAACACTCCTTTTGAAGCTGACCTCCCTGGACAACCAAGAGGAGATACATGGTGCCAGGGAAAAGTGTGCAAGATAGGGAATGTACGGCTCAGTGAAGTGGCAGCTGCCCTGTGCCCTCTTCCCTTCCCTGTGAGCCTTTTTTCTGGGCTCACAATGTACATGCCCAGCCAGCATGTAGCCTTCTGCACATGCTTGGTCTGTGTGTGCCCACTTGCACATCACAGAGGTAGGGCAAAAAGCAACAAGGTAAAGAGCTAGAGGACTGCCATTTAGGTGCCCAAAGGGAAACACAGTTCTGCCTTTAGAACTAGACTGCAACACACCATGTAAGTGCAAGGGAATGAGGATTCCCCCTTGCAACCCTATGCTGGCTACTCAGACCACAGGATCAAGCACGCAGGATTAACCATTCTCTCTCCTCCCAGACCATGGATGTGGGGTATAGCAGGCAGAAAATGTTTGGAGTCTCATCTCCACCTCACTCTCTCATTGGACTCCCAGGAAGTGTGCTGGAAACTGCCTTTGACAAGCTGGGCATGGGTTCTAAGCTATAATGCCTCCCAAGGTTTCTGCTGAAGTGCTATTGTTGACACTTCCGCTTGTCCAACACCTTTATCCAAAGTCTGAATCTAACCCATAATAAGCTGTTTTATACACCAGAATAATCTTGGGTTCTTTTTCTCAGCGAACTTATGCACATTTAGATTTCTCCTGCAGTGCAGTAAAAATGTGTTCTGTGTCACACTTTTTTAAGGTTGGATTTAAACCTGCGGGAGGTATTCGTACTGCGAAGGATGCTCTTACCTGGCTAATGCTGATGAAGGAGGAACTAGGGGATGAGTGGCTAAAACCCGAACTCTTTCGTCTTGGTGCAAGTAGTTTGCTGGCAGACATTGAGAGACAGGTTAGTAATACAAGCAATGTCCACCTTAGCAGAGAAAAAAAGGCTTTCCTTGTGTGTTTGTTTATTCCTTTCCAGAAACATTTTCCAGGCCATATTAAGGATAACGGACCATGTTTCTAATTAAGGATTGACTACAGTTTTGCTTCTGTATGAGCTTTCTTAAAAAATGTCCCTGGTGTTTTGGGGAGTGATTTGAAAGTTTCAGCATCCCTGTTAACCTAGGAACAAGCTGGGCCATGCTAACAGTGCTGAGCAGAGGGAATCTGATCTTGTGGCTTTCAACCACTAGGAGTCACTCTGCTGCTGCTGTTCACTGCAGCCAGGTCATGTTTATTTTTCAGCTGGAAAAAGGGACATGGGTATAAAATGGTTATTTCTGCTGGGAGGGGGAAAATCACTAATCACTGGAGGCAGCATGGCTACCTGCCATACTGCTGATAGAAGAGGGAGCCTTCTGCAATATTAGCATCAGTACACAGAGTAGAAAGTTTTGTCACCTTCTGTCAAGCACCTGTGAAAGAAGGGTGTCCTAACACTCATCCTGGTGTATTCTTACATGCTTCAGTGAACTAAATCATTGGAGTGCAATGTGTGCAAAAGGGGTCTGTGTATTCCCAGGTATCTTTGTGCCACAGTTAAAAACAAGCAGTTAAAACCCTTTGGGCCTGCCAAGTCTAACTACAGTATTTCATTCAAATCAGACAAATGAGCTCTAGTGCATATGACTGGACCTACCCAACAAGCAACACCAGTGAGAAGCAGATTTACAATCCTGTTCATTGTTGCTTCATGGAGAGACCTCTTCTTATACAGCACTAGTGGGAGTAGACCTCCCTTTCTGTAGCTGAGCAGAAAGATGTATGGAAAAAGACACCAACCATCTGCTTCCCCCCACACACAATTTTTCCCAACTGTTAAATTACTGTGGTACCTTAGAAAAATGGTAGAGATGAAAAAAACCAGAATAATGTTGATAGGGCCATGAAACAAGGGAGTAGAGGGGACTACCTTCATCATCAAGTCCAGTCTTCTGTAAGCACAGACAGCCACGTACTAGAAGTTAAATCCAAGAAGTTCCAGAAGAACATCCACTCCAGCCACTCCTGCCCACCACAAGCCACAAGGACCCTATAGCAAATTTAGCATTTTAGTCGGACCTAAACTTCTGAAAACTACACTATGTCAAAGGAAAGGATCAGAAGAAAAACAGGCACTTCCAATGCCTTGGACCTGGCAGTGGCAGGGAATTTGCTGGGTAAAATATATGCAGGGGACTGGCACCATGCTGAAGAGAAAAGCCCCAGTGGTCATTACCAATCTGATCTAAGGAAAATTTCATCCTGAACCTAGATCTGACCCATTAGTTTTAACCTAAACATGAGAGCAAGATATACCAGCCAAGTTCCTCAATATTTTCTCGGTACCCACAGAAGCAGCACTACACTTACTCCCATTTCTCACATCTAACCTTAATATAAATCTCCAAAAGCAAAATAATCCATTCAGTGGAAGAAAAAGAGTATCTTCCTGACCCCTACAGATGACCAGCACAAGTGAAGCCCTGAAGGGTGACATTAGATGCAGGGCTCTAAGTACTGAAAGCTCAAGAAGGATGATGGGAAGAAGACCTAATCCAGAAATGGTAGTGTTTATCATCCAGCCTAGGTCTCCCTACTTACTCACACAAACTGTAGTTCTCTATAAGCTAAAGGCATAGCCTCCAAATCAGAAACTCACCTCAAGAGGATTACAAGCCTAAGTGCCCCCATGGCAAAAAATGCTCTATCATGTAACCTACCACCAGGAGGCCACATATCACCTTAAGACTGCTGTCCAAAACACAGGCCCATGCCATGAGGAAGGCAGTTGTGTGTACAGTGATACAGTCTCCTTTCTTCTCCTTGGGGATTCCAACAAATTAAACCCTGAAAGCTTCATATCACATACTTTAACTCCCAAACTGTCACGATCATATCAACTAATCTTTCCATGATTTTAAGGAAGATCCACCCAAAACTTGGGTTCCTTGCCCCTACTGCCTTGTCCAGAAGTCTATCAGATGATCTGGATTGATTAAAAAAACCTTCTTCAGATTTCCAGTCCAACTGTATTTAAGAAAAAAAATGTACCCATTTGATCTTGCTCCAGTATTGCCTGCTAATTTAAATAGCTCTTCTCTTCCTGGTATTTATCTCCCAAGTGCATTTATAACTGAGTGATCATAGTCACTCTCAATCTTTGTTTTCCTAAGCCAAACGAGCTATTTTAATCACTTCTCATAAGGTATATTCCTTACTTCCCTGATAATCTTAGTAGCCCTTCTCCGCACCCATTTCATTTAATTTCTTTTTGAATATAGGTGACTGCAACTGTGCACACTATTCTAAGTTCTTGTTTATGAATGATGCAATCATACTAACATTTCCTTGTCTCCAGAAGAAAATATACAACATATGCATCCTAGAATTACATACACTTTTACACAGCCCCATCACACTGGCAGTTTATGGGCATCCTGTGTACACCAATACACATAGATTACTCACTCTGTTTTCCATTATTGCCAATCTACGATCTCCCAGTTTATTGTGGAAATTCTTGACATTCATACTGATGTGTATAATTTTGCAATTTTGTAGTGTTAATTTCATACTATTGTTATTAATACAAACTATCTAATATAATCTAATTCTTCCTGTACAATAATCTGATCCTCCACAGTATTGGGAATACTTACTACCTTTTTGTCATTTGAAAACTTATTAAGCAAGTACTTTTTGTTTGCACCAAAGTTAAAGAAGGGAATGCCAGTAGGAACTACTGAAAATGTTTTTTCCTGAAGTGAATACACAGTCAAGGCAGGCTTCTATGTGAAACTGGGTTTTTGCCTTAAATTTAACATGGATCAGAGATGTCAAACTGGTTTGGCCTTGTGGGCTGGATCTGGACCACAGGGCTCCATGCAGTTTGGATCTGGATCTGGTGGGTGAGTTGTAGTGGCAGGGAAATGAAGGGGTTAACACAACCACCCCTGACCTCACTTACCCCACCACCAAATTCCTGTCCCACCAGGAGCTCTACAGGCCAGATTACATGGCTCCATATGTTTTACACTCCTGACATGGATGAATGGTTTTAGCAGTGACAAAGCAAATAGACTTCCCTCGCCATCACAGCCTAAGTATGATGATAGGATCTCCAGTCAGTTTCACTGTGAGTGGTAATTGGTTGCTTGAGTTTTTGCAGCATGAATCCATGTCCAAAGGAAAATTAACCCCATAGTCATATTCAAACTCTTCTTATGCTACAGCCTGTACAAAGTTGTAAGACGAAATAGTCCCTGCTTCAGAGCTTATAACCTCTAAACAACCAAGAATATGGAGACAGTTGGGGGAAAAAATATAATATAGGTCTTGCAGAGCCCAGGGATGTCAATGAGAGACTTTCCAGTGGTTACAATGAGCTTTGGATCAGAATCTGTACATGTTTGTATATGAATTGGTGTTTATCAGTGTCATCCACCTGCTGTCAATGCATCTTTAATTTGATGACTAATGATACTTTTAAAATTTCTAGTTATGTTCGGTACTATCTGAAATTCTCTTTTCCCTTATAGATTTACCATCATGTGACTGGCAGATATGCAGCCTACCACAACCTCGCAATGGCTTAGACATGAGATTGACTCTAGATTACTTTTGTAAGAGACCTGTAAAAAAATAATATCCTGAAGTCTTTCCTGAAACAATGTGCATATGAAAAGATTAAAAGGCTAATTTTGCCCCTTCATTTTTTCACAGTATTTCTAAATACACTCATATCTGCTGGTGGTGCTTGAGTCAACAGAGGAAGTAGAGGAGAGGCAATTCTGAAAGAGTTAAAGATTCACAATGGTAATCTTGCAAAATCTCTTTCAGACCAGCCTGAAAAGCTTATTAATAGCAACACTGAAATACTATGAAAAAGATTTAAGTGGTCTGGTAACACTTTCCCGGAGCAGAATATGTAGTATCTGTGGAGTGTTACAGATCACTAATTAAGAGCTACAGATCTTGCTCTGGTTTTCCATTTAAATTGGTCTGCAGCTTTTGCCACAGATATGTTGCTGTATTAATTGTTATGTTGATTAAATTTCAGGCAGTGTAATCTAAGAACATGAAATGTGGCTATTACTCTCTTCTACAAAAAAATGTCTTCGTAGCTAAAACCAATTTTTTCAAACTTGAGTACCAGCCATTTAGGTGCCTACATCTATATTTAGACCTCCAGAATAAAAGGGGCTTGATTTCCATGATAGCTGAGCATCTATGGTTGCTTCTGAAGTTAGTGCTCTGGTGAATCGGAACAAATGAAAATCAGAGAATGTGTACTTAAGTTCCTAAATATGTATTCAACTGCCTGTTTTTAGGCTTTTTGTTTTGAAATGTTTGTTCTACTCTGCTGGGAAAAAATACATACCTTTATAACATGTTAATATTTTAAAGTGTCAGTTTCTAAATGTTGCCACTGTACAAGATCTCACAGGCTGAATTCCAACTTTGCCTTTGTTTAAACTTTTGACATTGAAAAAAAGTGATTTTTTTCAATGTTGGTGTCAACTCCCCCATTTTGTATACAGTGGGTACAGGATTATTTAAATTAACAGCACACTAAAAATAATATCCAAATCATTGCAGCCCTTCTAATGAGCAGACAACAGTAAGTTTAATGCATTAGTTAATTACTGAAGTGGAGTACGTAAGTAGAAAGGTGCTAACCTTATCATCTTGAGTAGTTCCACTGGCTTCACTGGAGCTAATCAGGTGCATGCGATGAGAAGTATTAGTCAGATGCTGTCAGAATATTTTTATTATGGTTTCAAGGAGATCCTTAGAACTTAAGATCAAAATATGGTTTATATACATATCTATCCCAAAGTGCTACCAGAGTCTTATGTGCTTAGACTAGCTTAATGCTGTTGGACAAATGGAAAAGCTGAATAGTAGCAGAAAATGGACTACAGTATATGCAGAGAACCCAACAGATGCAGTAACACATATTAGAAAATATATCTTAAGCTTATTTCTTAAAACGGCGATCCAGGCAATCCATTCCAGGGTCCTTTGGGTTTTTCTGGTCAATTCCTGAGCTACACAAGACTCAGCCTCCCAGACTGAGCTGTATGGCCACATTTTTATACAGTTTTCTCAAAATGAAGGTGATCCTTTTACATCAGTTTCTCTTGAGCTTCACTGAAAGTCTTTCTGAAGGAAAATTCAAATGCTTGGTTGTCCTTTTGTAGCCAAACTCTCCTGCTGATCTGAGAGCCCATGAAATGGAGAAGAGAAGATACTGCCATTGAAATAATTTTCCATAGAATATCTGGCAGACCCATGCCCTCTGCAGTACACATTCAATTCACTTAATCTTTCAATTGTTAAAGCATAGCCACGCAAGAGTAATCTTAAAAATGTTTATGGCATACGTTTGCATATCTGTACCAATCCAAATGGATACATATTGAGTAGAAAAAAGTTAGCTACATTCCCAATTAAGGTAGAAAAAATTAGCTACATTCCCAGTTTTCTGGCCCCCAATTTTTTTGGTTGTCTTTCAGAACATGTACAGCACCTGGACTTACAGCACTCTAGCTTTCACAGTTGAAGGGTGTGGTTATTAAAGAACCATAGTCTGTCACCCTAACTACTCAACATGTGAAAGATCAAATAGATTTCAGAGAAACTATTCATAGAATCATGCTTTGCATAGGTAGGTACCAAACACAGCTGTTTACACATCTGCCGGTAGACTCCTATGAACCTATAAACCTGTACGTTCCAGGACTTTTATTTTAGTTATATAATGGGAGCCTGTTCATCTGTTAGAGCCAGGTGTGGCCAACCTGTGGCATGTATGCCACAAGTGACATGGCCAGTCTCTGTGTGTGGCACATGACAGATCAGGGAAGGACCAGAGAACATAAAGTAGAGCAACAGATTACACAGGGAGCATAGGGCTGGGAGAAGCAAGCAAAGCAACAAATGGGACCAGAAACATACAGTACAGGGCAGAAAGCAGAGCAGCAGATTTGAGCTGGGGAAGGGGATTGGAGTGGCACTCAAGAAGGGTATGGAGCTTACTTTGTTGCATGCCTGCCAAAATTGTTGCCCCCCATTTTATTAGACACAACTCGATTTGAATCCATTTCAAGTCTTCTGACCAACCCATTGCTCCTCTTACAAGTTACTGCCAAATGACCTAGTAAAACACTGTGAAATTGCTGGACACCCAATGATTAAAATTATCTCACCACATTTTAAATGGTTCTGTTTTGAAATTTGTGATATGCTGAAAAAAGTGAATTAAACTAAAAATGTTTAAAATAAAAAACCCTAGTGCTTTGTTTTTAATAATAAATATTCTGCTCAGCATTACACAGGACTGGAAGTAATTTCAGTGTTACGCTATGGGGCCTAAATATGCACTGTCGTCCTCCAACCAGTCCACCATCTCCTGACTTCTCACCTTCTCCATTTTCCAACAGCTGCTTGAAGGACTTTAATTTACTTTGTCACATAAGGCCCAGAGGAGGAGCCCAAGTCTGGGTTCTTGTGATGATATCAACTGTTGCAGGAGAAACCCTCAGAACAGGTAGAGTAAATGGAGACAGGCCTGAGCTGCCACATGCTGGGCTAACATGACTCTATATACTAAGCATTCAAGGTTATGGTTCAGCCCATTAGAATGGAGGCAGGTGCTTGTCCAATTCATATCAGAATGAACCTTATGTGATACAAGGTTCAAATATATCCACTATTATTTTTAAGTTATTGACTGAAGATATAAGTTTATTTTAAGGTATTTCTTTTTTTTTTCTTTTCTTTTTTTAAGAAACAAAGTCTTTCAGCTCTCAAGTGGAAGACTGTAGACCAAACTCAGAAAATTTGTTGTATGCCTATATGGAGGAAACAAAACAAAAACGGTATCCGAGTATTTTTTTTAGGTTTTTTTTTTTTTTCACATATTTACTGTGGGAGAGAGGAGGAGCTTTAATAAGGCTTACATCCAGAACATACATTTCAAATCATGTATATGGGATGTATTGGTAGCCATGTTGGTCTGAGACAAAATGTGAAAGTCTAGAACTCTTGGGTCAGAGATGATACCTTTTATTAGACTGTAATAGGGGGCCTTCTCGGGGCCCATCTACTGACGGCCGCACCCACCTATTCTGGGCCAACCGCCCACCTTCTCACCTACCATGCCTTGTTGTTATCTAATTAAGTCCTTACCTAGGCGGGAGGCTGCCCATTTCTTGTCCCGATGACAGGGGGTGCTATCTGTGGCTCCATTCCTCCCCTACACTGCAACCTAAGCCTTGCAGATGGCATCCACAGTTGTTAACATCACTGGCCCCACTCTGGACCCCAGAATCCTCCAGTCCAGACCCCGCCTGGATCCCTCCACTCAGGTGGCCTACTCCACCTTCATTCTAGGCTGTCTAGCTCCCTGAGCTGTTCCCCCTTATGGGTGTGGTCCCCCCAGGACCTTTGGCTACCTAGGCCCTGGCCTCACCTCCAGGCCAGTTGGAACCCCAGGCCCCTGGCTTTGGGCGTCCCTCGTGGTGGGCCCGAGGTCCTTTGACCTTTCCAGTCCTGGCCCCAGCATTGACCAGTCAAAGGATTTCAAGACAGGTTTCTGAGTCTGTAGCCCCACTCTCACTCCTGGGTCCGCCTTCTGAACCCTACTAGTGGGTAACCCACCTGGTTGTGGAAGCTGGGGTTATTAAGGCCTGCTTTTCACTGGGGTGGTAACTGGCCTGGCATTTTCTGGGGGCTTCTGCATCACTGAGAGCCCCACCAGACCACCCACTCCTGGCAGGGTGCAGTTTTAGGTCATGTCCTAGACCAGGAGCCTCCAAGCCATCCCCTACAGCTCCTGCCCTTACCTCCAGGATGATACATGAAGTCTTGTAGCCAGGCAATGTTGCTGCCTCTTCTGCCAGCAGCAAAATGCTCTGTTTATATAGGCTGCCAAAGGTCTAAAATGGCCACCGCAATCAAGCGCCTGCTGGCTGCTTGGCTCAGGTCTTAAAGTGGCAGGCACCAACAGTGCCCTGCCACATAGACCAACTAGGAAATCGCAAAAAAATTATCTTTTTCTGCAAGCTTTTGGGCTCAAACACCCTTCATCATTAAATTTCCCTGAGCCTGATGAAGGGCATTTAAGCCCAAAAGCTTGCAGAAAAAGATAATTTTTTTGTAATTTCCTAGTTGGTCTAATAAAAGGTATCATCTCTGAACCAAGAGTTCTAGATTTTTGCAAATAGTGTAAATTGCACTTTGATAGCTACAGTGCATCTATAGCAAAAGAAATCACTTTCTGAAGGAGATGCAAGAACTTTATATTGTAAAACAAAGCACTGAGAAGGACAACATGATCTACTTTTAATTTTCTTTATTCTGTGGGAACTTTGGCTTTTTGCCTCCCAGGATAAAAATCATGTTTTATCCAAATGTGATGGTGCTTTATTGAAATAACCAGGGATAACATCTGGATGACATTGAAAATATGCATTGGGGGTGGGGCAGAGGGAATGATTTTTAATTAGATTCAACCTGCCCAGGAGGAAGAGACAGAAGAATGTCCATCTGGTCAATTTCTATTTAATAGGGCGGCTCAGAATGAGAATATTCTTACACTACAAAGATATAGTATGTAAAATACCCACTGACCATTGGCAGTAAAAGCTTAGATAGTCTAAACTGCTGTAGGACTTCTAAAGAAAAAGGGAGCTTGGAGAGTGCAAATACAGAGCAGGAAACAGGTGAAGGTTCAATGTTTTAGTACTTAGTTTTTAAACAGGCTAGGCTTCTGTCATTTCTACCATTTACCATCAACCCACAGGTCCCAAGTTTCAGTCAGCTGTTGTCAGTGAGAATGAGAGGTAGCTTTACAGGACTCATGGCACAACTCCTACAGAATAGGAAATGTGTTCTTAGAGGCCTTCATTGCGGAGCCTCCCATCTGTGAAGGTCAGTATGCTGTGGCCACCATGAAGGGAAAAAAAATGTTAAGCTCCTACCACAAAATGTTAAGCTCATACAACAATAGCCTTCCCATGACACTAAGAAGGCCTGGCAATACTTCTGCTTACACTGAACACGAGGATAACTCCATTGACAAAGTCAGCGTCAAAAAGACTGAAGGGAATAGAGTAGGATCTTTGGTGTCTAGATTGGCCTGCAGGTCCATTGCAAGTAGGTGTTAGTGTGAGCCTACCACTTTGCATATTTTTTTTTCCTTAGCATTGGAGAACTGATCAAAAGCTGAAGTTCAGGATTCAAT